TCACCTCCCTACAACCTCCCATCCAGACAGAGATTCAGCAGAAAACAGGGGTGGGGAAGAGGTGACAAAATCTCCCTGCAAAACAAAAACCTCCCTCTTCCCTCACCTCTAATCTGTGCAAGGTAGGAAGGTCCATCTTGGGTCTGCATCTGCAGAGGAGCAAGTGCCCTCATGGGTGTTCCCCATGCTCACTTTAGCCAGCACAAACCAGAAGTGCCCCAGGCAGCTCCTCTGGCCCCAAAGAGATGCTGGGGGAAACCAGTTTGGACCAGCACCATCTGGCAAGCAAGAGGACTTGCAAGGGCATGAAGCTGCGTGGCAAAGCAGAAGACACTGGTCAGGCAGCTCCTTAAGCCCAGTCCCAGGTAGGGATCATGCCAGAAACCCTCCCAACAGCCAGCAGAGATGCTGGTATCCATGTTAAATGTCTGTGCTTGGAAAAGGTGATCACACCACTGACCCTGGTCACCATCTCAGCACCACACAAGGTTACTGGTAGCACACGAACCCTCCTGGCTGGTTCCAGCAACCCCAGTGCTGGGAGAAGCAACACTTCAGAGAAGCTGCACAACGGACCTGGTTTTGCCCTTCCAACGTGAAACTTTTGACACTGGCAAAAAAAGCCCAGGAGGCTCATCCTCATCACCAACTGGATGAAGATCAGGCTAAAAACACCCACAGCAGCCCCAGAAGGAAGATTCACAATAAAGCAGAAGAAGAAATTGTTAAGTTACCCAAAGGTTCTGGTGAGGAGTGATGTGACCTGGCTGATCACACAGCTTGTCAACCCAGGGAAACTCTACATTCAGGCCATGAAAATTCTATGTTTGAATTAAAAGAAATGCAAGAAGATTTGATGGTACTTTATTAACTGGACAGTAAGCAGCAGAAACAGTAGGAATTGAATTTTGGGATCATAGGAGGCATTTTAATAAAGATGGAAAAAGCAGCTACTACCCAAAAAACCATCTCTGGTTTGCTTAAAAGAAAAAAAAAAATCCTGTTTAGTGCTAACCAGGATCCCTCACTCAGCTTGAAACAGGAGCTTTGTAAAGACCTTTGGCCCAGGATTAATTCCACACCATTCACAGCATCACACAACTCAGATACCCTCCCAGAAAGAAGCAGTTCCTGGTAAGCAAGTCCCTGTTGCCATCCCACTCCTTCCTCCCTCCCCCTGGAAGTCCCTTGCAAGGGACACATCGATTTACATTTGCCTTCAAGTTGCCCACATCCCACCAGCAGTGCCCAAGGCTGCACCAGCAGGTGAGACACCCACCTCTCTGCATGGTGAGGCACTACTCTGCCACTTTGAAAGAATCATAGAATCATCCTGGTTGGAAGGGACCTCGAAGATCATCAAGTCCAACTATAACCTAAATCCCCCAACCATAACCTAATCTGCCCATCCAGTGATTAAATCATGTCTCTAAGCACTTTATCTACGTTTATTTTAAACACCTCCAGGGGTGGTGACTCCACCACCTCCCTGGGCAGCTGTTCCACTGTCCAACCACTTTCAGTAAATAAATTCTTCCTACTATCCAGTCTAACCCTCCCCTGGTGCAGCTTCAGGCCATTTCCTCTGGTCGTTATTTGCTTGGGAGCAGAGCCCAACTCCCACCTCCCTACACCCTCCTTTCAGGAGCTGCAGAGGGCAATGAGGTCTCCCCTCAGCCTCCTCTTCTCCCGACTAAACCCCCCCAGCTCCCCCAGCCTCTCCTCACAGGACTTGCTCTCCAGCCCTCCCCCAGCTCGTTGTCTCCTCGGGCCCTGCCCCAGCCCCTCCATGTCCTTCCTGCAGGGAGGGGCCCAGAGCTGCCCCCAGTGCTGGAGCTGCAGCCCCACCAGGGCCAGGACAGGGCACCAGCACCTCCCTGCTCCTGCTGGACACACCATTCCTGAGCCAGGCCAGGATGGTGCTGGCCTTCCTGGCCACCTGGGCAACCTCCCAGCTCACCAGCAACCCACCATCATGCCTGTGAAGCTGGAGGAGTGGCCAGTGCAGGCAACCAAAAGCCTCCCCACAAAGACAGCAAAGTCACCCCCACCAGGCTTACCCAGGTACCCCCAAGAGGCTCAGTGGCTTTGAGGGACCTGCAGCTCCACCTTCCCTCCACAGCTGCAGTTCAGCTGCTCCCTCACCAGGCACAGCCCTGCTCTGAAAACAGAAGCACAGAATCACCAAGGCTGGAAAAGACCTTTAGGATCATCAAGCCCAGCCTGTGACCAACACCCCCACATCTCCAGACCATGGCACTAAGTGCCACATCCAGCCTTTCCTTGAGCACACCCAAGGATGGTGACTCCACCACTTCCCTGAGCAGCCCATCCCAAGGTCTGGTCACCCTTTCCATGAGGAAGTGCTTCCTGATATCCAACCTACACCTCCCCTGGTGCTGCCTTCCTGCAAGTGGCATCATGAGGAAGGATAAGCAGGTGCTTCTGGACACAAACCCAGAACAGCAGGGTTCTCAAACCAGTCCAAATGAAGCAATTAAGTCACCACACTGCTCATGTTTATTGACAATCTTTATTAGAGCTGACTTGCCACCTTCAGAGGCTTCCAAGGAGGTATAAATATGAACCCAAGTGCTACCCCACAGTAAGAAATCTTTATTTGCACAAAAAGATACAAACAACTAGTATCTCAAAGTCCATCCTAGTTAGTACATATAATACCAAAAAAAGGCAAAAAACAACCAAGATGAGAGACTAGCAGCAAAAAAAAGGATTCTAACTCAGCATCCACAGCCTGTGTGCTTCCACATTGCTCTAAGAAACAGGTTAGAAAGAGAATTCAATCCATTTCTATATGAAATACCCTACCAAAAATATAACACTGTGTAAAGAAAGTTAGCAGTACAAATTATTTATTCATTTATTTATTTAAGGGGGGGGAGGGGAAATGAAGAAAAAGGATAAAACAGTAGGTGCAATATGAAAAATCTCAAGTGTAAACTTTACTGCTGCTTTAAAATAAAAAACCAACACAAGACACATGAGCATTTCCATTTGGCTCAACAAGCCAGGAAAACAAGAAAGCTGGAGGGAGGGGTTATTATTATTATTTTCATGTATTTTTTTTAAAGTGCTTAACCACCATATCCAAAAGGAATGACTTTCAGACCTACTTTGCATGAAGGTGCTGAAAAAAAGCCACTGGTGCCAGGATAAAAGCTGTGGTTCTGAAACCCTGCCCACCCCCCCTGCCTTTATCTGCAGGAATGAAAGATTGCTTTCAACAGCTCCCCATCATATGATGGCCCAAATCAATGTAATGCTATTAGAGCAGGCAGCTGAAAGTCCCAGAAAGTTGAAGTTGAAGAGATATAAACAAAAAATAATCTGGATTTCTTTGTTTCAAGGCAGCACGTCCCTCCCGGCCACATGGTAACCATGTCATAAGCAGGAGGGATGTAGTTTTATCATTGTAAACTACCTAGAACAGGCTGTTGACTTAGTCATCCACATGTTTAACCAACTGAGATTAAGACTTCTACCTGATAAAACACTAAAAGGCAAGAAAGTGGGTGGGACCAATCACTGTGACATTATTTTAATATTAAACATAATGTCATGGTGGCTTTCAACAGTGATAGTACAACTGAAAAAAAAAACACCACCAAATAAAACCAGAAAAGCAATTACTTGAAGAGCTCTAGGACTGTTTTGTCACATTTTTATGTATTTATTTGAGCCTTAGTGCAAAGGAAAAATTTAACATTCCAGGCTCCAAAGCAAGTCAAATATATAAGACAATTTCACAGGGGTTTTTTGACATGTCAGACACACAAGATCCCATCAAAATTTGATTTTTTAGCTGTAAAAGCCTATTCATTTTTACCTCAGGGTTACAAAACATTTAGAAATGGGAGCAAAGACTCTGGCATTCATTCACCTGTACAGCTCCAAGTCATTGCAATCCCACCACTCTCCCAAAACCAGGGCTATCATCACCAAACTGTTGCAGCAGTTGGGCTGTGCCCACAGCCTGGCAGCAGCACCATCCAGCCCTGCAGCCATTGTGCTCATTTCTCCAGCAGCTTTGGAATCATGGAAGCTTCAATTTCTTTACATTCATCTATTCCACAGGTCTAATCTTTGAAAAATATTTCTCCCAAGTCATCAGTTCCCCACACAGTATCTTCATTGTCCTTCAGGACAGTTTGTAAGTTAGAGAAAGCCCTGATACACTTACCACTAAAATAAACATTATTTGGATAAGGTAACTTCTTCCCTACTAAATTCCTCTAAAACACCTCTGCATTAAGCCACAGCAAACTCCACACCAGGAAATCCAACATCTCCAGTGACTTGACTTTACCTTACTTCTCCTTTACAAAAGCAAAAACAAAGCAAAAAAAAAAGAAACAACACCCCTCTCAATCATTAAAAAGGAAATAACAAAATAAACAGAAACCATGAAGCATTCAGTTAGTCAAGCAGACATCTAAAATAAGCCTCTGAAAATTTAACATTTGAAAAGCAATTCTTTGAGTGGTTAAAGTGTGCAAATGGCTAAACAAGCTGCTTCAGAGATAGCTGAGTGCTCTAGTCATCAATGATTATTATTCCTGTCTAGCACTGGCAGTTCTGTTGCTTTTGTTTCTTTGGACATTATATATTCTCACTTTCCCTGCATATTTCATGTCTGTTTGTTGGGGTTTTTTTCCCCCAACAGAGCCCAGCAGCCTGACTTTAGAGAGAGGTATCAGAAAGGTGGGAAGTTCTCTTTTTAAAGGTTTCCCACCTACCCCAAGTTTGGCAAAACCGAAAGCGACTTAGAATGAAACGTAACATTTCAAGCAGGAACATCAACTGTTATTTTGAATTTTGTCTATGAAAATCACCTCCAAAAAGATTTAGAATCTCAGGTTCCTGCAAAACAAATCTGATAAATTAAAGGGAGGGGGAATGTGCAAGGAAAGTGTAACAATTCTATCGATGAGAAATACAAAAGCTTAGAAAAAATACCCCACCAGTTACAGCCCAAAACTGAAAAAACACTGTTTTTTTTTTCCCCAAAACCAGAGTCCACACAGTGTCCCACAGCCCTGCCTTGTCATGCTTGTTAATATCCTTGCTTAGAAGTCAGACAGCATTTTGTTTAACTTGTGTTGCTCTGTATCATTACACTAAACCATAATTAACTCCTCTTTTGTGCCGGCCTCATTCCAACACAATTGCACCCACTGTGGAACCAGCAGCAGTTCTCAGGTTTTGTTTTGCAGCTCAGCTGTATTTTTCTTGGATGTTCACAAGACTGGCATTTGACTGGATGCGTTTGGCTAGGAAGGGGGGGGAAGAAAAAAAAAAAAGAATGATATGAAAATGAAACACAAAGAATTCCACAAAACCAGTCTCTCCACTCCCTGTGCTGAGCACGCAGCTTTCTGCTCACGTCCAAGGAACCTTCATGAAAAGATATGGCTGAAGCTCTTCACCAGCCTTCTTCAGGGGACAGCAGCAGTGACAGAGGTTATTAGCACCACCAGCACAGCTGCAGGCACATCTGGCTGGGCCCCCTCTCCCACCAGAGCCCACCTCCCCATTCCCACAGGGAATTGCCAGCGCCAACACTCACGTAAAATCAGGATCCGTTTCTTCTGCTTGGAGTGGAGGAAGCTACTGAGGTAAAAAACAACAGGGAGGAAGAGAATAAAGGATGAAACTGCAATCACTGGGACTGTGTCACTGCAGGGAACAGAGCAGTTGAAAGTCCTGCTCCAAAGCTTCCGGGTGATGTTCATCTACAAGGAAAAGAGAAAGGTGTTAAACAGGCCTCAGGACATTCAGGTGTTCAAATATCACCTCAGAAAACAACACCCTCCCCACCTACCCATGCCCACAAGCAAGCAAATCCCTGGCAACAGAATTCCCATGGAGCCAAAATTGCAGATCAAAACTTCTCCAAGCTTCAAAACCAGTCTGTGCCCAGCCACACCAGACACTGCCACGTGCCTGCTGCCCAGAGCTCCCTGGCAGGCTGCAGGGCCAGGGCATCCCATGCTTCCCACAGGACTCCTTCTGCCCAGCCACTCCAACCCCCACAGTGTAACAAAGCTCTTCCCAATCATGTCACCAGGGCTGAGAAGCCCTAGAAACAGCTGCTCTAATAAGGAATCAAGTTTTACACTGGCTAGAGCAGCAGAAATAAAGCTTCACATTGAAAGCCAGGAAATTAAGACTTTTTTCCTGTAATCCATCCCCTTCACAGTAACAAGAAATTGAAGTGCAGCTACTTAAGCTGGAGTGCACTTGGGTGATCAGGAGCTTCAGTCACACTCCTGCTGCACTGACTGAGGACAGGACCAAGCAAGACAGCCCCACCAGCTCTGGAGCCCCCAACACAGGAAGGACATGAAGCTCCTGGAGAGAGTCCAGAGGCCACAAAGATGATCCTTGGGCTGGAGCAGCTCTGCTCTGGAGACAGGCTGGGAGAGTTGGGGTGTTCAGCCTGGAGAAGAGAAGGCTCCAGGGAGACCTTAGAGCACCTTCCAGTGCCTGGAGGGGCCTATAAGAAGGCTGGGGAAGAGCTGTTCACAAGGGATGACAGGACAAGGGGTGATGGTTTCAAATTAGAAAAGGGTAGATTTAGGTTGGACATTAGGGAGAAGTTATTTACCATGAGGTTGGAGAAACATTGGAGCAGGTTGCCCAGAGAAGTGGTGGAGACCCCATCCCTGGAGACATTCAAGGTCAGGCTTGATGGGGCTCTGAGCAACCTGATCTAGTGTGAGATGTCCCTGCTTATTGTAGGGGGTTGGACTGGATGACCTTTAGAGGTCCCTTCCAACCCAAGACATTCTAATGATTCTATGATTCTACCTTCCTCCTCACAGGACATCAGCCTGACAAAGGCACTGCTGCCAGAGCTGTCCCACACCAGAAGGGAAAAGACAACCTCTAGCAAGACAAGCACAAATGGCTCAGGGTAATAAAGACCCCCAAGACAAGGTGTCCCTGCTGGGTGTTCATCAATACTTACAGCATCTTCCACGTCGATGCACAAGTGTGCAGAGTGCCCAGACTCCCCACCTTGCCTGTTCATCCTCTGCAAGTTGTTGTACAGGTCGTTCAACATTCTGTAGGTTTCATTGCAGTTTTTACATACTTCTGTGTAGTTATTTGGTGACAGATAGACCATTTGTCCCTAGGGTTATAAAACTCTGAATGAGTGATGGTTCAAGGCATTATAAAATAAAAAACAAGCACCTTTAAAACTAGAGTCAAGTGGGAACTGAAATTCAAATTTCTACCATCCTTGAGTAAAGGCCCAAACAGAAAACCTGCATGACAGTGCAGGGGAAAAAGGGACCAACTCTAATTCACTGGCTACAGGATCCATTGCCTGCAGGTTCTGCATCTCAAAATTGTTCTTTGGACTAGCAAATAAATGTTATACTGGAGTCAGAGATATCTGGTTCCTTAATAGTTGGGTCAGATTGCTACTGCTGAGCTCTGCTGACAGGGACAGGCTGTGCCACAGCAAGAGATCCTTCTCATTTGCAGCCTTCACCACCCCTGAAGGCAGCACAAAACACCTGAAAACAAAGCTACAATATCTAAAGCTATTCCAGCCCAATAATGCTGGTACCAGCTTCACCACTGGGTTAAATTCTGGTTCAGACACTTGAAGTGATCAACAGGCCAGTCCAGGCTGTTCCTGGCCAAGGCCTAGAGAGGCACACATCCTAGAAATCATTAATTGTCCCCTCAGAAATTGTCCCATCCCCATCAGTTCCCATTTTTACTACTGAATGATCCCAGAACTTAGCCAGTTTCTGACTGAACTGGAATATGCACAGTTACTTGGGCTATTTAGGGCATTTTCTTTGAGGACAATCACCACATTTTTGCAACATAGATGAACTTGACCCACAATTTTACTAGTCACCAACATTTTTACAATGACTTAAGGTAGCTTGTCTTTCTGAACTAGTCTATATTATCATTAGGTCATTTAAAGACTGGATTGGTAAGTTAGGAGACAACAATGCCACAGAGATGGAAAAAGAGACTTAAAACATGCAGACATGCTGCTTCTTACTATATAATTATCAACTCCTGTGAATGCAGAAATTCTGAAATGAAGTAGCACTGTAATCACATACAAAATTAAGTCAAGGTGAATATCAACTTGAATTAATTTTAGGCTCTCAATCTGTAAACATCCACATTTTACAGCTCATTGCCTCCTCTGCCTAAAACTCACAAACTCACCACCAGTTTAGTTGCCTGATCTGTATCTGCAGTTTATTCAGCATCAGGGAGGCTTTACTAGTACCTAGAGGATTTAATGCTTCTCTTAAATTCACAGCATAAATACCTGAAGGTTATGTTCAAAACATGTCAGAGATTTATTGAATAAATCCAGGAATTCCACAGTAGAATTTGACAATCCCTCGCTGTTGTTCTTTAAACAATCTGTCAAAAAAGAGCAAGAAAAACATCAGGATATTCTCATTTCTAACGTTTCCATCACCAACAAGCTCCAGACACTCCTCTCCTGCACCAAGAGCGCTCAAATATAAAAGACAGGTCTAGTCAACACTGCAGCTCCCTTATCTGCCTGCCTGGGATGTCTCAGACCTGCTGACCTAACTCTTCAGCCAGAGCATATTTCAGAATTAATTGGCCTTGATTAAGTGAAAGATGAAGACTATAATCAAGAGCTTTCTGAAGAGGGGGTCTGAATTATCTTTGGAATTTAAGATAAAACATGACATTACTTTTCTTCTTCTGGCCCAGCAACAGTAACAGCCATTATGTGGAAGCAGAAGCACCAGCAGTGGAGCTGAAACCAAGAGCACCCAGGAAACAGCCAGACCATGAACACAACAGCAGAAATCAAGAGTGCAGGTTGTTATTATTTAAGAAAAGAGTTTCACCAGTTTTAAGCAGAGCTCTGGGGCTTCTCTCAGGCACAGGTTCAACCCTACCACGTTGCTGCTTCTGTCCATCCCACCCCACTTCAGGTGCTCTAACCAGACTGACCTTTGAAAACAACAGTGGTTTGGGAATTTAAATGTTCAGAAACAACAGTGGGAGAGCAAGCCAACTTCCTAAAAAATACTCCTGAAGCACCATCAGTATTGAGGGTGAGCACTCCCCTGGACACAGGTCACAGGCAGGACACTGAGCTGCTCCTGTGCTGCCCTTCCAGCCTTCACACAGCCCAGGCCCACACCTGGAAAGTCTTCTGGGCTCTCAAGGGACTCTGCAACAAGCCCAGAGTCTTTAATACTTTATTCCATAGTGCCATTCCCAGAGTTTTCTACTGCACCCATGAGTGTAGGGTCCCACTTTCCACATCAGGGCCAAGACAAAAGAACATGGTTTAACTCTACACATGGCAAAGCACCATCAGCATGGGGACAGTGAGGCAGAGGGACAGACTTGGACACCCTCCAGCCATAAAATTAAATATAAAAGCATGGCTGTGGAGGCAGATACTGTTCAAGATCTAAGCATTCCAGACTTACTAACTTTATTAACAAGCAAGGAGAAGTTTCTTATACAAGTTTTTTTAAAATAAGAAGACTGGGGAAACCAGAAGAAACCACAAAGAAGCCAAGCAAAGTCTTCAGCAGGGTCTGCAGATCACAGAGAAAACTAACATGAGTAGCTTTTGAGAGAACAGCCTAAAAGAAATAATTGTATGACAGTTAATTTATCCAACAGACTAGTGCCCCCAGTTAGCCAGGGAACAGCAATGTGGCTGAGAGAGCCAATAGTATCCTGGGGTGCATTAAGAAGAGGGTGCCCAGCAGGTCAAGGGAGGTTCTAGTAAGATCCCATCTGGAGTATTGTGCCCAGTTCTGGGCTCCCCAGTCCAAGAGGGAAATGGATATACTGGGAAGAGTCCAAGGGAGGCTACAAGGATGATGAAGGAACTAGAACATCTGTCTGATGAGGAAAGGCTGAGAGACCTGGGGCTGTTTAGTCTGGAGACGACTGAGCGGGGACCTGATTAATGTCTGTAAACTCCTGCAGGGTGGGTGTCAGGAAGGGGCCAGTCTCTGTTCAGTGGTGCCTGGGACAGGACGAGGGGAAATGGCACCAAGTGACAACACAGGAAGTTCCACCTCAACATGAGGAGAAACTTCTTTCCTGTGAGGGTGACAGAGCCCTGGGACAGGCTGCCCAGAGAGGTTGTGGAGTCTCCTGCTCTGGAGACTTTCAAGACCCATCTGGACACGTTCCTGTGTGATGTGCTCTGGGTGCCCCCGCTGCAGCAGGGGGGTTGGACTCCATGATCTTCAGAGGTCCCTGTGAATTTGGCAGTATCCCTTACAAAATAAAAAGCTCCTGCACCCTCATTGGAGTGGCTCTAGTTTAGGATTTTTATGTTACACACTTGTCTGCCTTGAAACAAATAGACACAGCTGTGCTCTGTGCAGACTTTAGGGCAGAGTGAAGCTCAGTCCCAGCACCAGCAGGAGAAGCCACGGAAGGACTCACGTACTTGCACAGTTGGCTGCCTCCCAGGTTTCATTAAAGAACCCTGAAAGGGTCACAACTATCTGCAGTCTGTCTGAGGTCAAGATGCTTTTGGCACAATTGTGGCTCTCGGAAGAATTCTAGAAGAAAAAAAGGAAAGAACAAGTGTTAAAAATCCAAAGGGGAAATCCTGAAGTGCCCTTTAGGCGAGCACAGCAAACCCATCACGTCGGTACTCTTGAATAAGCAGAGCAGAACTGATGGAACAACAAACATCTTTTGATCCTCCAAATCATACTATGAGCAACACAGATCACTGAACATGGTCTGTGAAGACCCAGTAGGAGTTGCTGGAGCCAGGCAGAAACCAGGGACTGCAAAACAGAAAAAGAAAATGAGCAAGCAGAGAGACAGAGCACCCTCTGCCAGGCAGCTCAGCTCCACCCATGGCAAGGCTGCTGCCCCAGGAGCCTGCTCAAGGCAAGAGGACCTTAGTCTGCAGGAGTATTTGAAGAAGCTGAACCAACAGACTGACCTCAAAACAAACTCAAACAACAGAAATCAACCTCTAGAACTGCTGCACCAACACCCTGGACCAGCAGGAAGCTTCCCCCTGCTGCAGCAATACCAGAGGGCAGCCCTCTGCCAAGCAGCAGCTGCTCACGCAGGCCAGGCTGGGCTCTCCTCCTCCCCAGATGTAGCTCTCAAGCTCACCTGGCCTCAACAAACCACCCAACACACCCCATCCTCAAAGCAGGCACTGGCACAACTCCTAAAGCAACTGACTCCCTGGATCAAGTGAATGAAAAGGAGAGTGACTATAAAAACCACTGAACAGGAAACATCGCAATCAGAATCCACAGCAAAGTTTTTCTCCTCCAAAGCTCTATTTTCTGCCTCAAATCACTGATGCAAAACCATGATCTCCAGTCAGCTGACTCCTGTGCTCTAGCCCCTGGTTTCTGGCTGCTAAATTGACTTAAGTGCTACTCAAAATGGCCAAAGCTGCCAAAAGCCTCTTGGATAAGTGACGTTGGACACAGGAGAAAATAATCCCTTAAACAAGGAACCTGCTCCTTACAGAGCTCAGAGAGATCCAGTTCCTGCCTCTCTTTGTTCAAACAGGTTTATTTTTAAAACAAGGAGTTTCCCTTGGAGCCTCAACTGCAGAAGTTGGGTATTGCCACATCTGGGAACTCCTCCATCCCCCTGCTTTCATTTCTACTAAATTACAGAGAGATACACAAGAAAGTTGCTTGTGTGGGGAAACTCTCTGGTTGCTTCATTAAGGCCTTGAGCTGTGAAACCTCCTCAGCAGGTGGACTCATCAGTGGGGAAAAAGTACCTGAAAGCCAAAACTGAATCAAGGAGACCTAGAGAATTCTTTAAATATGTTGTTTCATTCTCTGATTAGCCCAGCAAGGAAGATCCCACGTTTCAGAGATGTCCAAAAGTGAACTTGGCTGCTTCTTTCACACTGCAACTGTTGTAGGATGGCAAAGAGAAAAACATCAGCTGGTGGCTTGTGACCATGGATTGAGGCTGCAGGAGGTCACCTCCTGTATTTACTGGGCCAATTCATCCACAGGCAGAAGGAAAGCCAAACACTCCCTGCTACAGATGTATCTTCCAGACCACTCAGTGGTCCCAGGCTGAACATAATCAAGAACAGCAGCTGCAATGAGTTCACACATATTGTGAGTCCTGGGATATGTCTGACAACCCAGTCCTGGCCAAAACATCATGCTGAAAGTCCCCAGGAGAATGACACTCCCCATTTCTCACTTTCACACCACCCAGTCACTGTTATGAAGCAAAAAACAGGCTTGCAAACTAAAACAAGAGACCACTGGGCAGGTATTTATCCTGGAGAGGACAACTATCCAAGGTAACGTCCACCTGCTTTTCCAGCACAAGCACTGGGGTGGTGAGGGGAGATAGGGAGACAGCAAAACCAGAAAGGGATTTTTCAAGCAACAAGCAACTGAGCTGTGAAGTGGTTTGCAGCAGGACACTGCAGCACCAGAGCTTCACCTAGGTTTAAACAGCAAATTCCTGCCAATGGTGACTCTAAACACAGGTTCAGAAATTCCAAGAGTGGAAGAGACACCCTGCTACAGACTGGCTCACTGCTGGTGCTCTGGACAGGGCACCTCCCAGCCAGCAGGAGAACAAAGGCCCTCTGGGCTGATCCACTTCTGTCACCCTCACATCAACCCAAGGACTAACTTTTACAAATGGATAAACTGGATGAGAAGATGCAAAACTAGTCCTGAGCCACCTGCAGCACGAAGGAAAGAAAATAGGTGAACAAGAGTCTGGAGGATGTAAAGAGAAGCCCCATCTTCAGTGCAGGTTCCCCACTGGTGGGGGGGCCACCAGACAGAACTCAAGACCCCTGGTTTGCTGCCACACAACTCCCACCAGCTGTGGAGCCCACAACACCAGGACAGGGCTCCCAAAGATGCTGTGCATCACCCCCCACAGCTCCAGAGACCACAGCTTATCCAAGGAGTGCTGGACAACGCAGCTCTGCCAGTGCTGTTCCCCAGCGTTACACAACGACGACCCGCGAGCCTGAAAGCTCCAGGGGCTGCTACCTCCATCAGCAAGAACAACTCGAGTTCTTCCCCTCGGGCAAGAGCAGCAAGAGCAGCAAGAGCAGCAAGAGCAGCAAGAGCAGCAAGAGCAGCAAGAGCAGCAAGAGCAGCAAGAGCAGCAAGAGCAGCAAGAGCAGCAAGAGCAGCAAGAGCAGCAAGAGCAGCAAGAGCAGCAAGAGCAGCAAGAGCAGCAAGAGCAGCAAGAGCAGCAAGAGCAGCAAGAGCAGCAAGAGCAGCAAGAGCAGCAAGAGCAGCAAGAGCAGCAAGAGCAGCAAGAGCAGCAAGAGCAGCAAGAGCAGCAAGAGCAGCAAGAGCAGCAAGAGCAGCAAGAGCAGCAAGAGCAGCAAGAGCAGCAAGAGCAGCAAGAGCAGCAAGAGAAACAAGAGGCGCAAAGCTGCTGCCC